TGTAGTTTCACTTTCATAGTAGGGTTGCATGACAGATTTCCATAGACCGGCACTGCAAGTTTCTTGAATAAGCCAAGATAATTCAACACTTCCAGAAAGTGTATGCGGTTTGCCTCGTGCTGCGCCAGGCTCACTGCTGGAAGAAAACATGTGCTCTATTAACATTAGCTGGTTTAATATAGAACTTTTTCCTGGTGCTTTTTGGTTTTCTCCAAGTCGAACAGCGACAAGTAATCTAAACGGGCTCTTGAAGAGATGGTTTTCAACAATTACTCCAGGTTTTGATTCCCATTTGATTATGGGGCCGGTAAGAAGGGGGAGCATCAGTTTATATTCGTTCTCCTGCTCCATATCCGGCATCACAAGAGGAAGTGCCATTGGAAATTTGGCCATTATACGTAAAATATCTTGAGCCACTATGCAATCAGCCGAGGTAAGTAAGCCAACAATACAGTCAATTCTAGCCAGCATATTTTTCTTTGATTGAAGAGCATTCGAAGCTGGTGGCGGGTGATTATTTGATTTTTGGACAAACGAAGGTGTTTTCACAGATTTCCCAAAACTAGGACCGGATTTATTATTAATATTATTTCGTTCTACCATCACTAAAGCTGAAATATTATTTGCTGTAAGCGCGTAGCAACCCCACATTTTTACTTTTTGCATAAGATAGGGAAGAACTTGGTTCATGCAGGTTATTTTTTGAGTTGCATCAATTTTTGGTGTTGGAATAATCGCGCATACTTGAACATGGTCTTTTGTTACAATCATTGAGATTGTCTCTCCCATTATTGTCTTCCACCTTTTATGCACATTTACCACCTGTTTATCGAATTCATTGAAATTCGTATCGTTGCTTTCGAAAACAAGATTGAAATTGGCAACAATGGTTGGTTCAGTATCCAACTTCCTTTTCCAATGTACAAGTTTTTGAAGTGCATCTTTAATCGTTTTAATATCCCAAGGTTCCTCTAAATGTTTTTCTTCTTTATTCCAATAAAATAAGGCATCAGCAGACTCAAATGAATTTTCTAATGCTGCATTTTTTGAGAGGGAATTATTAATTAACAATCGAAATTCTCCGGGTATTTCTTTTTGGTTAATCATAAGCTTAAAAAACTTTATCACTTCATCAATATCGTTCAATATTTTTGGCATTGTAATATTTCCATGCTCCAAACTTTTGTTCCGGTATTCATTCAAGCGTTCTTGGATATCCGCTGGTATGTAACTGGGCCATTTCATAATATTTGCTTTTTGCAACAACGAAGCAACTCTTACTATCGCAATAGGTGAATTACGAATCAAGTAAATAAATCTAGAATTCATCCAGAGTTTCTCGGAATATTCATTTTCAAATTGCTTGCCCGATAACAGATCAAAAAAATTCATAATAGCCTTTTCATCGTCGAAACCGCTTATATTGTTTAATGTTTGATGCAGCTTGTATAATCGAGGATCATAATTCAACTTTGCCAATTGTGAAACAAGTTCAGGTAAGAAACCGATCAATTCAGTAATCTTTTGCTGACAACTTTTGAATGGTTCTTGATTGAAAGGTAACCTTTTAATATATTTTTGAATGATGTTATTGAAGACATTTGTGGAGAATTCGTAACTGGAAGGTTGATACGATTGTTTCAAAAGAGAAATCATTTCTAATACATGAAAAAATTGTTCTTTAGCAAGACTAATAGAAAGTTCGTTCAAAACATTAATCATTCCCGAACATTGTGACTTGAAATCAGACTCCTTCCAACTCTCGATGTTTGTTCTTGTATTAGCCGGACACTGCGGATCAGTAAAAATGGAATCGATAGCCTGCGTAAAAATTTCTTCAGAATTTTCAGCCGCAATATTGATGTGAACTTGTTCGATAGTTTTCTTGGCGGATTCGACTTTTGCTAAAAATGGGTTTTTTGATTTTAACCATTTTTCGAGTCCAGTGCAAAGCGATTTCAAACCTTCTGTTCTACTTGCTCTTATGCCAAATTTTGATTCCGTTCTACTCCATCCATGTTCTGTCAAAAGATCGATTAAATCATTATGATTTCTAGCAATGATATAAGCAACTGATGAAATCACATGCAAATCTTTTGTCGAAAGTGCACCGCGTGCAATATCTAATACGTCGGTCAAGCTTTGATCTGGAACTTGGTTAAATAAAGGTATTCCAAGATTGGCGGAATCTAATTGGAGGTCCTTAAATTGATTGACAATTTTAATCACTTCTACAGCAAAGCGAGCTCGATCAGGGTAAAATGAATAACAAAGAGTCTCAGGAGACAAGACCGATAAATCAGGATCAGCATTAGCTTCAAAATGTTGAGCGAGGATTAGAACATCTAGGTTATCCAAACAGACTGCCTTTACCTCCCCCTGACGAAAAACAAATAAGAGGGGAGCTGCATGCAAACCCTGAACACCTGAATTGCCAACAACCCATTCACATTCTGGAAAGGCTTCGTACACATTGATATTTCCAATAGCATCTAGTGCAGTGTCTAACGCATCCAAAGAGATGAAAAACTTCCACTGGGCATCTTCACAGTGAACGCATCTAATCCGTTCAAGAGTTTCCATATATGAATGGGCAAAATAGACTTTATCATCTTTTCGTAATAAAGACACTAAATGGATTAAGTCCGATATGTTCTCAGGTTGAAGTGGTAATCTGATCCTCGAAAGTGATGCCTTTAGCGTGTAAAATCGGTTCTCAATAGATGTATTCGTTTCTACAGCAGCACTTATAATTCCAAGGATTCGAGGGATCTCATCTGAAGAATAAGTCTCTTTTTTTTCATAAATTTTGATCACCAACGAAAAATCATTTGAAATGCTTGGTAAAGCAATTCCAATTTCAATTCCAAGCTTTTGGAAAGCATTGCTGATATTGAAAAGCCGACGAAATGCACCATCAGGAGAATTTCCCTTAGTATACAATAGTATTTTGATATTACTTTCTGTATCCATCCATCGGTTAAGTGCGTCTAAACTTGGAAAAAACGAAATTTTGGCTTTCATAAAGATCGCGTCACTTTCATGAACATCAATGAGCTCACGCTTTCCCGTTGAGACAAAAGTCTCAATATTTGAGTATACATTCATTGCACTGAACTCGCATTCATCAAAGTCGTGCACAATTTGAAGAAGCTGTTCAGAATTACTTTCTGCTAGCTTGTACTTTTTCAACGTCTCGTAGGCACGTTCAAAATAATGATTGGCTGTTGTTTTCAATTTCTCTTCATAAGCGGAAATTTCCTTTGATAGTTTCGATTGAGGATCCAACAAGATAACTTGTAGTCGATTTTCGTTTTCTAGAACGTAGCTCTTGACATATTCAGGGGTCCGAAAATCTTCAAGCGTCACAAGCATCGTACGGAAATTGCTAAAGGTGTTATCGTTTAGCTGTTTATAAAGTTTTTCAACTTTTATGTCCAGAAACTGGGTGATAGGCACAAGCACAAACCGAAGCGGAACACCAGTAATATTTGGGTCAAAGAATTTGAAATGTTGTTCCTTCGAAACCTGCGTGTCCACTTTCTCTATCAAGTCAAACATTTGGCTTATAGTCGACGGTTGTTGAGGCATTTGCGGCTTTGAGTGAAGAGTAATTCGTTTTTCGAAATTGCTGTCGCTCTTCGCATCTAAAAGCTCAAGACTGGCCTTTAGAGAGACATTCACATAACCACACGGAATGCTTCCTAAAAAGCTGCCTTTGATAGTCTTGTCTCTGGTTGTGTCGATTTGTCTAATTCTTATATCTGCTTTTACTTCGGCCCCTATGATTATGCTATGTACGACATGCGTTGCCTTGATCTGGTTATTGAGAAGCTGATTTTTGACAGATTCATCCATTACGTCCTTTGAGGAGGGAAGTAATTCGATGGAATAATTATCTAGATGATACTGGCAAATAAGTTGTTCTTCACTAGAATTTTTGCCAGAGGAAACATTATATTCACCAGTTCCTTCTACTTTGATGATGCCAGATAAAAATTCGATGGAAATTGCACCATCAACTTTGATAGTCGAAAGTTTATCTTGAAAACTTTTTATGTGGATTAAGCGATAATCAAGATTCTTGATTGGATGAAAAATCAAATGATCTTTGGTGAACTTTTTGGCAAATAAATTGAAACCAGAGTCTTTGGAATCATGGCAGTCCCAAAGATCACCCAAGCCTAGAACAACATTTTTGATACATGGAAGTGTAAAAGTGGAATCCTCGACATAGATGACTTGTTTTTCCTTCATATTTTCTATATCAAAATTAATTCCTTCAGTTTTTTTGAAGAAAAACAATCCACTGAAGACTCACTTTTGTACCGTTATATATTACGATGTTTGTTACATTAGTGATAATCTTTCGTAGTTCAAGTTATCGATTGCAGATGACATTTTTTGTAAGACAAAAACATACAATTGCTTTCTCATTTTACGTATGCACTGCGTTTGTTTTTTTGCGCCGTAGTTCATTTATTAAAAAGAAGTTTTTAGCTAAAATAGGATACGGACTCTGTTTGGCAATACGGGCCGGCGGGCTGAAGGTTTTCGCATCACTAGTTGACATACATATTTCGTTATTTATCAATAGAGATCCTGTTGATAAATAACAATGAAAAACGAAATACGTAACCTGTCAACTGTGTTGTCAGATGACAGTTTTGGACATTGGATACATCCAATGTTACTAGTTTAAATTGAAAAACAATCACAATTCAGCAACCATTTAGCAACCATTCATCGGTTAAATGAACCAGTTTCTGAATTGATTGGTGCCATTTAACCGATGAATGGTTGCCAAATGGTTGCTGAATAATTTCTAAATTGTGGTTTTTTCAAATAGATTACGTAGTAAGTGTCTGTGGAGATCATAATATTGAAAATAACATAAATATGGAAAATATCTGTTTTAAACGATAATGATAATGTAATCTAATGTTACACTAGTAACACAGACTTCATTAATTTAGAAATTGTTTTCTCCCTTTTTGTCGCCAAATGTAACCACAAAGCAATTTACGCTAAAATTCACTATCCTAGAATAGTTTATTAATTTCTGCAGTAATTTATTTATCTTATAATTTGTGCAACAAATTACATGTACATAATTAATATTTCTTTTGTAATATAAAGACTAGTGATTAAAGATCAAATAAAGTGTGTTTAAAAAGCTTTGATTCTATAATTGCCCTATTGTGTACGAATCGCTCTTATAGAATTAACTTTAATTCACCACACTAATTATAAAAATTTGTTGTTTTAAGAGTTTTGCACTTTTAATCCAGAAAAAGTGAATGATTGTTTTGCTGAAGTGATTAGACGATTACGATTTGATAATCATCGTTAAAATCGGAAAAGACATGTTGAGAAACCCGCGTGATTAAGATTAAATAAATTCAACGGCATAAATCACTAGCATCAATATCCGTAAATATTGACATAAGCTCTTAACAAATCTAATCATTATAAAAGTAGTACACATTATAATTTTTTACACTAAATAAAGTATGTTTTAATCAATTGTTTGTACTATTTTTATTTTTTAATAAAGTTTTAGATAAGACAAAACTTTTTTGAATATGTAATTTTATAAGTTTGTACTATACAAGTGCATTAATGTACATATGGTAATACATGTATGTATTTTAAATTTTAGCAGAATTGAATCACTAGTTGTCGAGAAATTAAGCTCCAAAGTTTAAAAATTTGATTTTTTTAACTATATAAAAAACCAAATTAATCAAATTCAAAAAATTGTTGATTAATAAAATTTTTATTTTTGTTTGTATATAATACAAAGAGCATATTATATCCATGTTTTTGTTGGACGATATTTTGTCGGAAGAATTTTTAAAGTTTCAAACGCTTTATCAACAAAGGCATTTTTTGTATTTGTCCTGAATGTTTATTTAACACAGAATTTAGAAATTGAGATACAAAGTAATACAGTAAACTCCCCGATGTTTATAAATACAATCACTTCCTAAGTGCACAATTACAACTCAGTCTCGTGAAGTGACTTATAAATAAGTACATGTTTTTTATTCTGAAAGTGCACTGATTCTTGATAACGCTCAGTTTTAACTAGTGATTTATGAAACAATAATAACTACCTTCAGTCAAAACTTGTGGTCGGTGCTATTAGTAAAAAATTCGGTTTATCGAGGTTTATTAGTAAATTCGGTTTATTGAGGTTTCAATTAGTGCTTCGGTTTAACGAGGGTTCGGTTTGACTGTAGCTAGTTATATTTATGTTTATTTTCATTATTTGATATTAAATTATATCATTTTAATGTGCTTGGATCAATCCAGCTAAAGAGAATAATGTTGAAGAAATGATTTTAAGAGAATTTGTAAAATTATTTAGAAAAACGTGCAAGATTATGACAGACTATTCTCTAAATGTATGCTCTCCCTAAAAGCACGCTCAATATAGTGTATATTTGACTTTAAGAGCACAAAATCATTCGCTCGATTTCGTATTTATTTTTTGAATTGTGACACGAATTTGGCGTACTTAATTTATTAGACGAGAGTCAGGTGCTATTCATTCTTAATATTTCTAATCAATTAAAGGTAAGCACAAGAACATATGATTGTTTATTAAGTCACAAATATTGTATTATCTTGACTATGTCCTTTTGTAAAAGTAAGAAAAGTTTAGATTATTTACAGTTGAAAATTTAAGATTATTATAGCTATGTAATATTTCTGATATATAAGAGAAATTTATATTTACTTAATTTGTTGTTGATTTTTAATTTCAGAATAACTATTGAAAGAGTTCGTAAATATCATAATTGTCGACTAATTTTGTAGTTTGTTTAAAATATGCTAATATATAAAAGTGAAACAAGCTATTTATAACTTAACTTTATAAAGCTTGAAATTTTACATCAAAAAATCTGAATAAATTTTTCAAATCAATAATTTAACCTACTTGAAATTCCAAATTCACACTGATAACTTTTAGCTATTTTTAAATTAAACTTATAGCCAACTTCAGAAAATTCTCATTTTCGTACTATTTTCGCGAAAAGTACATTCCTCAAATGAACTTGAACTAATCTTGCTATATTTTGAAATAGCTTAAATGCATTCTATCGATATCTCTTCGATAATTTAAGCTAAAAATATTTATTTTACATCGCATAATTGACAGTTACCCAGATAACATTAACTTATTGTAACTCCACCTTTTGTTGATTTCAATTATCATCCTATATCATTATCATAACAAAAATCATACACCATAGGAAATTCGACCTCCTTGCAATCATAATCTCTTTACAATTATCATCTTTTTTTTAGTCCTGGGGTATATTATATGTGGGCTGTATTTATTTTATTTAGCGAAATGTTTCAATGTGGTAAAAGCATTTTATTATCGTCATATATAATGGTCAACAAAATATATGTATAACTAAATAAATTTATCACAGTATAATAGCGAAATGATAAGAATATTGTTTTACAGTAAAATATTATTTGTACAAAATAAATAGATTAACCTATAATAAATATCTGAAATAATATTATGTGAGGGATCATACTTCGTCTAACTTAGCAGCATGGAGTACCTGGGTCGTTGTAATCTTCAAAGCAATATCCTTTGTAACAGACCAGATCGCCTGAACAATCACCAGAGCTGGCACAAGCCTCGCCACCATTACAATCTTCTTTATTACCACCATAAGTACAGCGTTTCATAGGTGACATAGGTGACGGTAAGACTGTATGTATGATGCAGATGATAACAGTAAACCAAAGGATAGATTTCATAGTTCGGTTAGACTTTGATAAAAATTGAAAGTAGAAGAGATGTGTTTGATGTTATCAAATCTGATGATTTTTTAGGATATTATCATATCGGTCAGTGGACATGTCCATCCCTGTCAGGAGCTACTGTATATCAATAGTAATTTACATGATCTACAAACCCAATTTTCTTATTGAGTTAACGAAACAATTTTATTCTTCATATAATAAAGTTGTAATTGCAAAAAAGAAAAGTGTAAAGTTTTTCAGGTAAGCTATTTTTCAAATGATGTAAAATATTATTTTTAAAGTAGTATAATAACTAGAGTCTTGGGTTTTAGTCCTCCATCTTGAATTAAATAACCGAATGAATATTATTTTCATACTTAATACAGTATGGCTGGTGACGTTCAACATCCAGACAACCACTATCCCGACAACTCATAAGCCCAACAAACGAAATCCCGAAAGCACAGCATCCCGAATGGACGAAATCCCGAAAGCACGGCATCCTGAATGCACGAAATTCCGAACGTACGGCATTCCGAATGCACGAAATACCTTAATGAAGCGAAATATTAAGATTTTAAATATCGGGATTTCGTGCATTCGGGATACCGTTCTTTCGGTATTTTGTTTGTCGGGTTTATGGGGATGTCGTACCAGATCCAGTATTGCTATATAACGATAATATACGACTTGGATAAAAAAACTTATCATAGTTAAGTTAAAGAATCTTTGACAACTATGACTTAAATATAACTTAACAAATATTCGTCTTTATTATTTGCTTAATCATTCGTTTATTCATAATTACACCCTAAAATGACATTCAAATTACTAAAATATTCAAGCTAGTTACAGTTTTGTTATTTATAAATAAAGTCTTTATTCTGATAAAAAAATTATAATATATTTTGTTATTGTATAGAACATTCAGTTATATAATCTTCCGGATATTTTAATATCAAATTGTCTTCATATACTTCATTATCTGTGATTTTTTGACGTTTTGTTGGTCTTTAGTTATTTATTTAATTGGTATTTTTAATTTTTTCTTATTGGCAAAAGATATGATAATATTGCGAGCTCTACGTCTAACTGTTATTTTTACCTCAGATTTTTCAATATCTTGTCTATAGATCTCATAAATTCTATTTCGTCCTATTTCATAACATGTAAACAATCTACCAAATCACTCCTTATAATTTTGGCTAGTACCTCGAAAAAGTTCATATCTTGTTGGACTGGCGCTGAAAAGACATTAAATAAAGTATTGGAAAGTTTTCACAAGACCAATCTTCGTGATTTCAAGTTGCGATCATTACTGATAAATAATTTTTCTTCCACATATTCATTAAAAAGCATATCCAAACGTTCTTGTTCAAATTGTGCTGATGTTATTTGTAGTTTTAATTCATCAACTGTTCCTAGTGTTCTTCCAATATTTTGCTTTACAAACTTCACACCAAATCTTTCTAATGTTTCATTGA